AAAGTACAGATACCCCTTGCTAAATTTTACTCAAGTACAAGTAAAAGTACTACAGTCAGATGTCTACTTGAGTAAAAGTACTGAAGTACTTGTTTTTAAAAGTACTTGAGTATCAATATTGCATTACATTTATGCACAGAAACGTCCTACTTGGAGTTATGAACAATGTTAACGTTAATACCTTGGAGAATGTAAAAGGAATTGAAAGTAAAATCAAGTCATATTCATCTTTTTTACCATGTTGCTTTATTTAACATTTAAGAAAATTTCAGAAAATTCAGAAAATTGAAATAGTCTGGCGAGGCTAGACCTGCTGCGTCTTTATCCATGGTTTGGTCTCTTATTTACTGTAAATCTGACCATGGAGTTGACTTTGGCGGAAAGCTGAAGGTGATTGCTGATAGGTTGTCCCAATCAGTGGCACCTGCACAATCCAATCACGTTTGAGAGGGAAACAACAATTTGAGGGTTTCTGAGATTTTTCTTATTGACATTTTTTTTTAGTTTTTTTTTTTTTTTTTTTTTAAAGTTACTTTTTACTCATGCTTATGGATAGAAATGTATTGGAGTAAAGAGTACAATATTTCCCTCTCAAATGTACTTGAATAAAGCCATGAGTACTCCCCAAAAATGATACTCGAGTAAAGTACAGATCCCTCAAAATTGTACTTAAGTAAATGTACTCCGATACTGTCCGGCTCTGGTTTAAACTTAGTATAAATGACATCATTACACCAGTAGGTGGCGATAAGTGGCTGTTAAAAATGTATTGGACATTGAATCATTCATTCAAAAACTGATTTATTACATTTTTTTTTTTTAAATTGCCAGAACCTGAAGTAAATTAGCCTACATGTTATTTTGTCAAGTTTTCTATTCATTGTTGATCTTTATTTGAAATGTGATTCTCAATTTATGCAGCTCTCTCTTTCCCCAAATATATACAGTATATAGTCATTTTTTTAAGTTTTACTTTTCACACATTAAATTGCTAATTAAATTTTTTTCTTTACAACACTAAATATACAAGAAACTTGAAATTACACAACTCAATAAATGAACTATTACTGATTAGTTTAATTAACATTATTATTACATTATATTCAAGCTCAGAGCTCAAAGAAGACTGAGAGTGCAGTTTCTGTCTGCAATTAAAGGCCAGCTCTGATTAGTACATCTATAGAGGGTCTCAGTGAGTCTTTGAGGAAGAGTAAATGGGTTGTGTCTCAAAAGCCCAAGTTCTCAATATGATCTCAACATGTTATATGTATACGTCTATAACTAGTAGACATATCTGAGATGAAGTTACGTGGATGTCTCCTGAGCTCCCTTAGAGTAATGAAATACTCCCGTGGGAATGAGTAAAATGTGCCTGAAACAGATCGAAAAACTACAGACGGCAGAATATGAAAATATCGAGCGAGAAAAAAAGCCATTAATAATTCTGTTGTCCCGTTTGTCCTTGAATGAACAGTGTGTGATGTATATCCACGTCTCACTCTCATTACACTCGTCTGTCTGAAACTCTTCCTAGAAGACGCAACCCGATCGCTCCGTACGGACCCACCCAGATCCACCCAGGCTTACACACTTCTGGACGTGTGTGTGTGTTCTCTGCGCTGGACAAATCAGTGGCAGCTGACTGAAATAAGTTTGCAGTTAGCACTAAAATTAATAGCTGGAATTAAATTCAATCAAAAATGTAATAAATTAAAAGGCACATAGAATTTATTTTTATTTAAATAGGAAAATTAAAAATATAACAATTTCTACTACAACTAGTGCTGTCAAATTGATTAATTGCATCTAACATAAAAGTTTGTAAATATCTAATATGTGTGAGTATACAATATTTATTTATATTTACAAACTTTTATGTTAGCTGCGATTAATTGATTTGATGGCATTAGTTTATATTAGGGCTGTGCAAAAGTTAATTGCGATTAATCGCGTCCAAAATAAAAGTCTGTGTTTACATAATATATTTGTGTGTGCTGTATATAATTATGTTGTATATATAAATACACACACATGCATGTATATATTGAAGAATTATTTGCGCTTAAATTCTGTATATATTTATAAATACATAATCTATATTATATAAATATTAATATTTTATATATGAATAACACATTTTCTTAAATATATACATGCATGTGTGTGTGTTTATATACAACATAATTATATACAGCACACACAAATATATTATGTAAACACAGACTTTTATTTTGGATGCGATTAATCGCAATTAATTTTTGCACAGCCCTAGTTTATATTAATATTTTGAAACATAAAAGTTTGTAAATATATATTATATGTGTGTATATAGTGTGTGTGTATGTATATGTACACAGACACACACACACACACACACACACACACACTCACTCTCTGGTAACATCCTGTTACTCTTCTTTTAACACACATCCAACTAGCCGCTCAATTTAACTTAATGTTACCAGCAAAGGTGACCCGTAAAGTTAAGATTGAGCCCCTGTAGTCACTTGGACTATTTTAACGATGTCTTTAATGACTTTTCGAGGACAGCAAGTGTCATTCCCTCAAGAAGCCTATGGACTAGTGTGCAGGAGCGATCTTAATATCTTAAATATCTTAATTTGTGTTGCGAAGATGAACGAAGGTCTTACGGGGTTGAACAACATGAGGGTGAGGAAATACTGACAGAATTTTCATTTTTGGGTGAACTAACCCTTTAATCTGGTCTGCTCGCTGGTTTTAGAGAGATTGCCAAAGCTAGACCAACCGAACACTTGTTGTTCCTCTTCTCGTCAGTGATTAACCGCATCACTAATGCTCAATCATCACTTATAGAGTTAATCTACTTTATTTCACGAACCGCAACATTGATCCAGTGTTATTTTAACTCTTTAATCTATAGACCGGGACCATATGAAAACTGAGCAGTGTTTGGATTTTACTGTGTAAACAAGCAATATGCATTTTTTGTTTTTAAATAATTTATTGAAATTAATTTGGAGAATTCTCTTCTGAAGCGTGATATGTAACGCATGCATGAGTTTTGCTGGGATCACACACGCACCCTTCTCCACCAGCAAACAGCATCCTAAGCTGGTCCAAGTGTGCTAAACACACCCTATACTGGTGAACAGCAATGCATGCTTGTTAGTATGCATGAGCACATACTCACTAACTAACCACAACACACACGGGTTCAGAGGGCATATATGAGCTCAATGACACCAGCTGGGATGGCCTGTGGTCAGTCTTCTGGGAGGAACGAGGTCAAAGATTACACACAGTTGTGTTTGAGGACATTTCTGATTCTGTGTGTGTGTGTGTGAGATCTCCCGGCATGTTCAATTAAGTATTTCTGAAAGGGAAATGGTTCTTTAACTTTGAAACACCGTCCAGGTCACCCAAGGTTGATCCAATCAGCGCTGCCATTTAAAAGTCTGATCAGCGGCGGTGAGGATGTTGTTTTCCGCCTGGAGAAAACCCTTTTGGATGCTTACAGGGTGTGTGATATGATATTAAACACTAACAAATGTGACCATGATACAATAAACTGAAGAGTATTTTTATTAACAAAACTCGCTGGTCGGTTGCCAGATCACAACACATGCATGCAAACACAAGCACATGCATTAATTATAAGGCTGTCTCACTCTCTGGGGTTCACACACCATCGTACATGTACTGGACGCCACATATCGGGAATCAATTAGCTTTGACTGGCGAATACGAGCCAGATAAACGGGTCAGTTAAGAGCCACGCGGCGCGCTTCCACTCCATCTGTGTAACGAGCCGCGTCACCATCCTAATCAATTAGCCTTTACATCGATTAATCGGTATGGAGAGCGTCTCCTCATTATTTCATGAATTTGATCCTTTCTCCTAGACAGTAATGAGACCCAACGGAGAGCGATGGAGTCTCTTGCTTCTCAGGAGAGCTCAACAATGTCTCAAACGCGACTGATATGTACAATCAAAAGAACTATAATATTTCTCATCTGAGCTTCTATCCACATTCATTTTATAGCTCAATCCTATTACTGTCAGTCTTTAATTAACTCATTTTTATTTGATTTGAGGAGAAACTTCTGAGAGAAAGTTGATACTAAGTGAGACCTCCATTATAGAGGAGCTATTACGCCCTTTTACACTCTTGATGTGTTTTAGGATCGGCTAGAACAGGTTTTCCTTCTTGAATGTTGATTATTCTCCTCATATTCTCCATTGTCGCAGCTCCTCTCTTCCCTAACGCTCTGTTTACTTCCTGTCTCTATGAAGCCCCTCCTTCTGAAAAGCACACTGTGCTCTGATTGGTCGGCTGTAGCAGTGCGTTGTGATTGGAACGCTTAGAGCATGTTCGGCAGTTTACTACAGCTACTAACTCAACCAGGCCCCGCCCCTTTATTCTGCATATGAATTATTTAAAAAAAATAAAAAAATTAATTTAAAATGTAAAAAAGCATAATAGGTCCTCTTTAATTCTCCCAGGCTGTGAAAGAGCAACTTTTCAGCAGTAATAATAAATAATAATAAATCTGTCCTGTAATATAAAAGCCAGAAACATTCAAGCTACACAAATGTACAGGGCTGGGCAACGATTAATCGCATCCAAAATAAAAGTTTGTGTTTACATAATATATGTGTGTGTGTGTAGTGTGTATAATTAATTTGTATATATAAATACACACACATTCATGTATATATTTAAGAAAAATATTTTATTAATATATCAAATATTAATTATGTATAAAGTATATACATGCAAATATTTCTTAAATATATACATGCATGTGTGTGTATTTATATATACAAAATAATTATACACACTACACACACATATATTATGTAAACGCAAACTTTTATTTTGGATGCGATTAATCGTGATTAATCGTTGCCCATCCCTAATCCAAACACCTTACAGAAGTGCCGCCCAGTTGTACAAACAAAATGCATGTACAGGATCATCTTAAAGTGTGTGTGTGTGTGTGTGTGTGTAACTCACCAGCTTGCGTTGACACCATTTACACACACCGCAGAGCGCAACCAGCCAAACGCCACACACGGTCACCGCCAACGACACCAGCAGCACGCTCAAAGAGAAGGAGCCTGTGAAACACACACACACACACAGTTAATATCTGAGAGGACGGGGAACAGTCTGACATTTACACTGACCAGAGTTTATGAAGTCTCTGAAGTACTAAAGAAGGATCAATAGCTTTCATGATGGGAGCAAATGTGACTGTAGAGCGAAATCAGAAAGGGGAGAAGAACACACTTGGAGAGGGAAACATGTCATGTTATCAAACAAGTGTTCATTACTTTAATGAGCTCATTTAATTATTACATTACCATTCCTGAAATACAGTTACCTCTGATAAATTAGAGGTAGACCGATATTATCGGCCGATATTAGGCATTTTCTAAACTATCGGTATCGGCAGTTATAATGGCCGATAAATGAATATTTCAACAATAAAATAAAAACGGACGAAACACGCTTGAACCATGTCATGAGTGTTGGAGTTGTATAGTTTGTCCACCAGAGGGCGCTCTACACCGTTCCTGTTGGCAACACTCGTTGAGTTGGTCACGAGACATACAATTAAAAGAACATCCCCATCAGTTCTCTAAACTCAAATAAGCGTGACGAAATTTGTGACTATCATGTCCAGTTTAAATAAATAAATAAATAAAATATCAGCCGATTTATCGGAATATCGAAATATTTGTATCGGTATCAGCCTTCAAAATCCTTTATCGGTCGAGCTCTACTCGAAATTGTAATGTGGACTCATGCATTTAAAAGCTGCTGTCTTGTGAAAAGTGCTTTACAAATAAATGTTAATTGAACTGATTTGAAACGAGGGAGAGCCTCTAATGTTTTCTTCAGATATAGTGTGAGATGAGCCCAAAAACACACTATATGCAAGTATGACGCAGATTTCAAGCAGCTCTCCCTAATTTTATATGCGAGTTATTATTTAAATTTGGCCCACAGCATCAATTCTCCATTACGTGTGTGTGTGTGCCCAAAAACTGCATTAAGATCTAATTCTGTGAGAGCGCTCGAGCATCTCTTGTCTATCCGTCCTCATAGCCATCACGCCAATCGAGCGTTCACTGACAGCAGGTAACAATAGAGTTTACTCCAAGCTTCACATTGTTTGTCCCTGCTGTCAAATTAAATCACTACGACAATATCTACATAGAGCCAGCGTTGGCTTAAAATAGTCAATAGCCCTTTATTAAAGGTAAGGTAGGCAATTTCAGAGAGGCTTGCAATACAAGCTAGCTTTGAAAGACTTAGATTAGCGCGCTAGCCATTTTGTGCACTAAAGACCTACACTCTAAACGACGCTGGGTTGTTTAAACCCAAATGTGGGTCAAATATGGACAAACCCAAAGGTTGGGTTAAAATGTAATGTAAAATTTGAACCCAACTTCAACTTTCACTTTCAATTGTAAATGTATTAAATTAACCAAACATTTGGGTTTGTCCATATTTGACCCACATTTGGGTTAAAACAACCCAGCGTTTGTTTTCTAACCAATCCTGATTTATTGTGTCTTGTGTCTTTCAGAACAGAAAATAAAGTTGTTTTTTTTCCATCGCTCATATGTAAATTTTGCAATCTTATTTCATCCATTAGACATTAAGGTAAAAATACAAATGTTAACCCCTTAGCTGTCACCCCCCTTTTTGAGAATGGGGGTTAAAATGCACTATTCAAACTTAAATGTTGGTAATTTAAGAATGCTTTGGAATATATACCCCCATGTTTGGTCTTGTTTTAAAGAAAACACTCAGCAGAATATCGCTGAAGTGAAAACACTTCAAAATGAAAGTATGAAAAAGTTTAAATGTTCAGTAAATCAAATATACTGTACTATATTTTTTATTTTATATAAAATATATATATATATATATTACAAAATATTTTTTACTCTAAAATTTCTATAAAATCAAAGCCATAAATCTTAGCAAGTTATGTTCCAAATTTGAAGTTGATATCACAAAAATTGAAGTTCCCATGAGATTTTGTTTAGGCGCAGTACCAAAAATAGCCACCGGGTGCCATTGAATTCTATTGAATATAGTTGTATACATTCTGCCTTAACAAATTAATACATTCCTGTCCAAATATCAATTTGGGAACCTTGAGACTCAGACCTTTCTGACAATATCAGTTTTGTCAAGATTAGAAAAGGTTTTGATCATAAATTATGAAATATAATGACGCCCAAAAGGGGAGGAGCCTGATAAAATAAGTACCGTTTCTCGCCCACAGGCGAAGAAATCAGGACAGAAGTGTTTGAAAGTAAACGGGAATGTGTCTCGCTCGTCCACTTGTGATCCGATCAACCGAAACACATCTTAATACCAGTTTAGTGCAAGTTTACATTGACTGTGGATTGCGCTTCAGAAGACGACGACACATGAAATCAAGTTTGCGCGATAGCATAACAATAACGTAAACCTTTGCGTAGAGTTTGGGGAATAATAACAAGCATTCAGTAGATCAGTTCTGACGGCTGCAGATGTGACACACACAGAGAGAGAGAGAGAGGAATGAACCTGACAGGATATGATGAATGGACACATCTGCTGATGGAGGTGTAGGGAGGAGATGGAGGGACGGGCGGATAGTCGAGGGGACGGGAGTAAAGAGTGATAAACGTTTAAGATTGATCTCCCCTGTGAACTGAAGGGACAAAGCATGATGCACTCATGCAGTCAGTGTGTGTGTGTGTGTGTGTGTCCATATAGACTCTTTGTTCCAGCACAGGAACCATCAGAAAGAGCTTCTGTTCCACATCAATATCAGAAAGTCTTAATAATAGAAAAGATTTTGGAAAATACAACCGGAGTTTTTCAGTGTGTATGTTCACAAACAGCAGAGGTTGTACTTCACAACATTAACTATTAAAATGTTCCACAAACACACCTGTTTTAAAATATTTTTTCTAAATTGTGATCAAGATGTGTCCCTGTGCATTGAGGGCAAGTTGAGCCACAGTTTGGCGTCAGGTGTCAGACTAAACCTGTGGCCCTGGTCTTCATCAAAAAACAACCTTCACCTTTCACACACACACACAGTATTATCTGTGTCTTTTATCAGAGTGTGTGTCAGAGTAATCGCTGCTGACCCCGGGGAGCCGAAGAGAGGAACGGGAGGATGAGGGAGCGTCTGCGCCTCCGGTCAGGAGAGGAATACCGACGATCAAATCTAAACCAGAGAAACGGTCCCCGGTGAAGGACACACACACGTATTTATTCATCTAAATAGTGTGCAGAACGAGACAGACGGTGGGCGATAAGGAGAAGTTTGGTTATTGTTTTCCGTCTGAAGATAACGCTCCTCAAAGAGGGTCACCGCCTGTCCGCTTTATGCGATTATGATCTGTAAAATATTGAGAAAAGGTCTAGCTGTAATATTACAGAAACCTCACAGACTGAGAATCTGGAGTGTATAAAACTGACAATAACTCGGACCCGAATCTCACAGCTTACTCCAAGAAATCACAAACTTCACAGCGTAAGGCCACGGGAAATAAACACCTCAAATCTTTTTAATATCACAATTGTTTCTTCTACAACAATATGACCAATCTCACGAATATACCAAGGTCATACTTCACCTCAAAATCTGAAGATTATTTTAGATACAATGAGAATTTTGGGAGGAAAATGACAATTGCAAAGCATGTATGATCCTACAATAGCAAAAAGAAAAATCGTATAATTTTGGCATAAAATTTGAGTCTCCTGCTAATATTTTCCCCTAGTAATCTCGCATGTGTCTCAAAGTGTGCTCAGAATTGCCCAAATAAAAAGTCTGAACTCACAGTTCTCAAGCTGTCCACATTCATCTCTGTGCATCTATATTCAGGACATTTTAGGAGAAATTAACATTATACACTGGGTGGAACATGAGCAAGAACATCCACCTCTCTCTTACTGTGTGTGTGTGATCCTGAGTGTATTAGTCTTATCAGAGGTATGAGAAGATGATTAGAGCTGAAGTGCATTAGAGTCACACAAACATCTATTAGTTCCCCTGATTGACTCTTAATGATTTACTGGCAGTATAGTACGAGCTGCATTAAGCTCCTGATAACAACTTCATACTGCTTTTATGCTCTTTAGGATCTATAAACTTCTTCATTACCTCACCATGGCTAGAGTCAAAAATGGCCGTTGTTGATGTAAACGAGTCAACAGTGCGGTTTAGTTTTTAGCAGGCTGAGGAGAGGGTTTCACCGACGTCACATTCTGGGTGGTAACCCGGATGAGCGGCCATTATGGAGGCACTCGGATGTAAACAACAGCATGGACTGCACTTTATGTACTACTGAACACTAAAAAACACAGAAAAAACAGTGGTATGTGCGAAATCATATAGAGAAGGACTTACCAAGCAGGAGAGAGCGCAATATTTTGACAAACTGAAGTTAATATGTGGTAAAGGTACGAACGAGCTAGCTTCTCTAGCCCGTACTGCAATTCTTCCTTTTATTTCTTATCCCGACTAGGCTACGTTCAGATTGTCAGCCCAGAAAAGCACATGAATTCCTTTTAAAGCTAATTTACATCCATATGTGGTTTGAAATACTATTCAAATACCAGGACATGTGCCTCAGTCTGAACGAGGCTCTATGCACGGCGTTATTTCCGGTGAAGGATTAAGGATGCTCGATAACTTCCGCCGATCATAGAGTCCAATGCAATACCGAGAATTTATATTGAATTTTACACTCCATGGTTATACTAAAGAAACGTTAGTCACAAAAACTGATAAAACAGACACCCCTCGTTGTGTTTATGCTTCTTTTTAAAATTATATTAAATAAACATAACTATATATAAAATTACATCTAAACGTATGTACGTTTCGTTTTAAAGACGGGAGGACAGTAAATATTGAAGACTCTGCCATAATCCCGTTTTCTCCGGTTTTCCTCCGCTTTAATCTCCACAACCGGAAATGGACGAGCATCCTTACGTCAAATGCGGAATTTATGCGTGCATATAGCCCAAGCGGGTTGTGTGTGTGACTCTCACGCCACATAAAATGTAAACGACGTCAGTGGTTATTAGAGGA